GGAATATTATTCAGCCATAAGAAGGAATGAAGTACTGACATATGCAACAATATGAATAAACCTTGAAAACATGTTAAGTGAAAGAAGCCAAACACAAAAGGCCACATATTATATGATTCCATTTACATTAAATGTCCAGAACCAGCAAATCCATAGAGACAGAAATGAAGCTAGTGGTTGCCAGGGGCTAGGAGGAGAAGGAGTGAGTGCTAATGGCTATGTGGTTTCTTTTTGATGTGGTGATGAAATGTTCTGGAATTAGTGCACAACTTTGTAAATATACTAAAAGCCATTGAATTATACACTTTAAAAGGGTGAATTTTATGGGATGTTAATTATATTGCAACTTAAAAAAAAAAGTCCGAGTATTCCCATCACTCATTCTAGGAGTGATGGAATTTAATTAAGAGGCTAGATGATATCAATATGCAAACTGACTGTAGCAAAATAAAACAATTGTTAAAATGAACATACATATTTAAATGATTAAGTAGTCAAGAATAAGCTACAGGTCTAATTAAGGGGAAAAAAAGATGGCATTTTCCTTGTGGTTTTCCAAATCAATATTTGTCTCTCTGCATTCTTTTATTCGCTCTTTAAATTGAGGGCGAGGGGGTCAGTAAAGAAAGATGGGCTAGACTACCATCTGGTCCTTTTCCCTCAACAACTTTAATTAATCTTTGAAGTTGTCACCTCCATTTACTAAATCACAGGAACTTACCCTGCATAATTGGTAGCAAAGGAAATGGAACACAGCTCTTGCTACGACTTTCAGCAATTCTTTTTTTCCAACAGGCACTTCATATGAGTATGAAACAGGAGGAAATGATGTGCAAGCAACTGGAAAAAGGGGTAGTGACATTTAACATTCATATTTCAAAGATTCAGATTTGAATTTTAAATACCACAGTCGCAGGAATGTGACACTTGGAAAGTTCTGCAGTCTTAACTCATTATTTTTGGGGTTGGAGATACACTGGGCAGTGTGATACCCCCCTATCGAAAACAGAAGGGAAATTGAGATTGCATTTGTGTGTGCACCTTGAGAGAAGATTAATGACGTTGAGGCAGAGGCTGTCAATAATTTGTTCATCCCCTCAACTACTCCCTATGACTCTAAAAGGAATACCAGACTCCATGTGCAGTGTTACCACGACTTATCCTGGAATGTAGTATCTTCATTAGAAAAGCTTCACCTGGAAAAGGTAATTGTTCTTTCAAAGCCAAAATGAGTAAAAAGGAATTAAGTGGAGGAATGGAGGAAGGCTGAAGAAGTGAAAGAGGTCTGAGAAAATGCAGCAGCTACAGCGGAAGCAATTACATAAATCACATAAATGTCATGAGTTCATCGAAATGCCATCTCCTTGATCAACGTAAGCTTTCTTATAAGAAGTGTGGCTTGGTTTGATGATGCCACAACAGGGAAAACTGAGGAATCCCCTATGCCCTTTTGGAAGAGAGAAGCTCATGAATACGTGTCTGGGTACTCAGGTACCACTGTTAGAAAACACCAGTAGTAACACCGATGAATCTTCCATTTACATTGTGTTTTACCCATTGCAAAGCATTTTCATACCCACTGCTCTACAAACCTCCTCTTTGCCATGCAGCTACCAAACAGCCAGCTTCTTCCGGGGTACGTCTGCCACGAACATGTCTCTTGTTCCCACGCTCATAACCTAGGTTTGTCCCCAAAGCCTGCAGGCCACATACCTGAGTGTACTTGCGGAAAAATACCCCTTGCACCTTCCCAAAAATTTCATAATCCACTGATATCAGAGTGTCCCCTTCTGCCATGCTCACGTTCACACCTGTCAGAGACCAGGAAAGCAGAAAAGTAAAGGACTCATCATCCTATTCCAAGCCCCTAATCCTGAGACAGAAACGGCCACACACCCCCCTTCTCCATCCTTAACACCTGCGACCTCTTCCTGACCTTAAGGTGCCCCGACTTCAGAGTACGTAAGCGGATACGTGCAAGCGCGGTGTGTGAACAGAGGGCACCCGGGCAAGGGAACTTCGGTCGCAACTGCCCACCGAGGCCTCTTTTGGGGCAATTAGCTGCTTATCCAGTGACCTCCCTACACCCATCTCCGATTCTGCTCCCTCTCCATCCCTACCTCTTCCCGCTTCGCTGCGGCAGCCAGAATCCCCTTCTACTAACATTTTAGGACTAACCGAATGATAGGTACGCCCCGTAGCCACGTCCCAGGATCACCCTCGTCGTTCTCCTCTCAGGCGGCCGAGACTACATCAGCGACCACCACGCCAACGGCCCCCTCAGCCGCGTAACCGTCGCGCCCGGAAGCTTAGAGCGCAGCTCCTCTTTCGCTGTCTCTCATGCCCATCACCTCCGCCGACCAATCACAGACGGAGCACTCGGCGCAGAGCCCGCCCAGAGGGTGGGGTTTCGGGACGCGGTTGTCACGAGCGTGAGCGAGCCTCGGGCTGGGGATCTGTCCAGGGTCTCGGATCAGATTGTACAGGCCGAACCCTCACCCCACCTCGGTCACTAAGCGCACCCCCTTTCTCATTTTCTCATGAGCAGACACAGGCGAAGAAGCACTTGAGATAAATTCAATCATTCAATATTTACTGAGAGTCTTCTGTGTGCCAGGCACAATCCTAGGTGGTTGACATACATTAGTGAAGAAAAAGGATCCCTAGCCTGGAGGAGCTTAAATTTTGGAGATGGGAGACAGACGGTATACGTTAAACATCACAAACAAACTGCATAGGACACATACAACCTTTCCGCCGTGACTTTTTCCTCCTCAAATGTTGGGTCATGCCTAAGTCTGGAATTGGTAGCAGTGGGGTACGTGTATAGGAGGTCCCAGTGGAGGTTATTTCTCCTTCTGTGCTTCTGGAAGCTGCCCACCAGAGTCCACTTTACTAAGAAAACTCCAAATAATGCTTATCTCAATCAATCGCAAGCACAAGCAAAATAACCCATGGCTCCAGATTCACAATTGAATCAGTCAATCTAAGCCAAATGACCAAATTGCATGAATTCTTTTGGGAAAAGGGAATCCTCAAGGGGAGACGTGGGTGACAATTTTTAAAAGTAGGGTTGCCTTGCAGGCATTTGAATCCAGCTACCCTTATGATTCACAGTGTGTGTGAAGGAAGTGGTGTTTATTGCTCCTCTTTGGATTGCTTATATACATTACATCCCTTTGTAACACCCCATATGTAAATATGCCAGATTGGCAGACTTGCCAAGGTGAGATGGATTTGCAATGGAAGCCATGGAGATGCATTTCACTAGTTTCCCACTACAAAGTGAGGATATAGATCCTGGAGACTCATATAACCTTAGTGCTGGCATGGGGGTGGGGGTGGGGTGGGAAGCTAGATTGAATGTAATGCTTGGCAATATTTGAAAATAATGCTAAACAGAGTACCTGGCTGATGTTATTTCTTTCTCTAAAATTCATTTTTTTAAAACTAGTTTCTCTATAGAATTAAACACCTATTGAGTGTTGGGGCCGGCCCCATGGCGTAGCGGTTAAGTGCGCGCGCTCCGCTGCTGGCGGCCCGGGTTCAGATCCCAGGCGCAGACCAATGCACCGCTTGTCAGGCCATGCTGTGGTGGCGTCCCACATAAAGTGGAGGAAGATGGGCACAGATGTTAGCCCAGGGCCAGACTTCCTCAGCAAAAAGAGGAGGATTGGCATGGATGTTAGCTCAGGGCTGATCTTCCTCAAGAAAAAAAAACCTATTGAGTGTCTATTATGTATGGGACACCTGTAGGATGTACAAAGATGAAAGATATATAACCTTTGTCCTCAAAGAGTTTTTCATTTAGTGTAAGGGACAAATATGCACGCAAATAATGACAAAACAATGCACAATATGCTAATTCAATTCCATGAACACCCATTGAGAGCTGATCATGAGCCAGCCCCGTGCTATAACAAGAACAGAAAATATTATGGGAGCACAAAAGAGCAAAGAGATTCACTCTGACTGGGAAGATTGGAAAAGCTTCTTGGAGGAAACAGCATATTATCCAAGGTTACCCAACCATGACGGGTAAGTGACGGAGTTGGGATTTAGTTCCAAGCAGTCTGAATACAGAGCCCACTCCCATAAAGGCTATGCTCTACCACCTCCTAGTACGTGGAGCTTGGCCTGAGGTGGTGCCACTGAGGTAACAAACTGCAAATAGTCAGGTATGGCTAGACCAGGGGTTCTCAGGTATGGCTAGACCAGGGGTTCTCAACCCTGGCTGCACATTAGGACCTTGGGGGAAGCTTTTAAAAATACTGATACCCAGGTCTCACCCCTAGAAATTGCTTTCCAGATAGTCCTAAAGCACAGCCAGGGTGGAGATCCACTGGACTAGACTCTGGGGAGGCAGGGCTGGAAAGGTAGGCTGGAACTAATCTGGCAGGTTGAAATACCACGTTAAATTACGTGTTTCAGCTTTATGCTATAGGTAAAGAAGAAGCCACTGGATAGGAGAACGACAGGTTTGGAAGTATTTAGGATAATTATTCTGGCAGCAGCATGAAGGATGAGCTCAGGGAGCAGATGTTGAAGGCAAGAATAGCAGTTAGGATTGTGATGCCATCCAATGAGAAGAGAGGAAAAACTCACCTACGGTAGAAGAAATGTAAAGGAAGGGTCATATATGAGAGACACTGCAAAGTAAATCCATCAGAGCCTGCTGACCGATTAGAGGGAAGGAGTGACAAAGAGGTACTCGGAGATGACTGATGCTTTCAGCGTGAGAAGGAACACTGGAGAAGAAGTGGATTGGGGGACTGGAGAGATGATCATGAGTTTGTTTTCTGTCACGCTGAGTTTGAGGTTCCTGAGGAACATTCATGTGGAGGTGCTAAATGAGCAGCTGGAAATTTGAGTCTGTAACTAAGGAGAGAAAGCTAAGCTGGATATCACTTATACACAGGTGAGACTTGAAATTTCAGCATTTGGTTGAATCACCAAGAAAGAGAATGTCTGAAACTGCATGTATATGAGAAATAAGAGGGCTTTGGAGAACACCTAAATTTGGGGGGCAGGTGAGGAAAAGACATAAATGCCAGAGACCTGGAAGAAGATGGAGCAAGGACATGTAGGAAGAAACCAAGGAAGCACAGGAGAGTGGGGCCGGCCCTGTGGTGTAATGGTTAAGTTCTCGAGCTCTGCTTCAGTGGCCTGGGGTTCGCAGGCCTGGATCCCAGCAGTGGACTTATGCACTGCTTATCAAGCCATGCTGTGGCAGGCATCACATATAAAGTAGAGGAAGATGGGCACGGAAGTTAGCCCAGGGCCAATCTTCCTCAGAAAAAAGAGGAGGATTGGCAACAGATGTTAGCTCAGGGCTAATCTTCTTCACCAAAAAAAAAAAAAGAAAAAAAGAAAAAAAGGCACAGGAGAAAGTGAGAAGAGAGTTCCAAGGGAGTGAAAAATCAATAATGTCAAATAAGTAGCCTGAAGAAATAGCAGCTTTTGTCTTTGGTGATTGGAAGGTCATTGGTAGCCTTGCAGTTAAATACAGTGGCAAGAGTGGAAACCAGACCACAATGGACTGGATAATGAGCAGGAGATGAGGAAATGGGGGCAGCAAATGTAAAGTTTTCTATTAAGAAGTCTTGTGGCGAAGAGGAGAAATAAATGGGACCCTACCATGAGAGGTAGCAGGTCAAGAAAAATGAGGTTTGTTTTGCAGAGGAAAGTTAAGCATATTTTAAAACAAAGAGAAGGAATATGTGGATAGACACAACTTGAAGCTAATAAGATGGAGGGGTAAAGTGATGGAGTCAATTCATGGAGGGTAATGAAACGGACTAATTCAAGAGAACTCATGGAAAGAGAAATACTCTTCTTCCTCAGAGACAAGAGGGAAGGAAGTCAAGATGGAGGGAGGCACTCTGGCAAATTCTGCCAGACTGGAGGGGAGCTGTGGGAGCTGATGACAAGCAGGCCCCATGCTGAGATAACTGGGACTTTGAGAAGAGTGGGAAATGTCTGGAACTGCATATATAGAGAAGGCAGTAGAGAGTCAACTAGGAAAGAAAACAAAGAATATAAGGACTGCCCTGGAGGGCCCCACCAAGGAATTTCTTTGTAACATCTAAAAGATGTAATATGACAAGTTAAAGTATTAACACTGACTACTGCTGTCTATATTATTTTCCATGTGCATGAATCTTTTGAGTAGTTATGATATTGGCTCAACACAAGGTTAACGTAAGGGAAGCCATACTGTAGAAAAGAAACCCTATTGTAACTTTGAATGATCTCTGATTAATTAGCCCAGACATGCTCTGTGGATTTTATGGCCACTCCCAGTTGCTATAAGTTGATAACTTTGTTCTCTTGAGTTCCTTAGGAATGTGATGACCCCCCCAACAGAGAGTCTATGCTGATAGCCATCATCAATAACAACTGAAAGATCTGGTGTGGCGACTCCCAGTCTGTAACACCAGAAGGTCAACATTCCTAAACCCCTCCCCTATAACCCACTGGCCTATGTAACTGCTTTAAGATTTTGTGCCCCTTAAGATGGTTCTTTTGGACATGAGTCAGCAATCTTCCCTTTTGCTAGCAAGTTGTAATAAAAAGTCCTTTTTCTCCTTGCTTCTTGACTATTGGCATGCCTTGCGGCCAGCAGATGAACCCCCTTTTTAGGTGGTAACAGTTACAGGAAAAAAGTAAGCTGCCTGTTCTAAATAGCTTACACAAAGGAACTGAAGCATGAAGACAAATAAACTCTTTTCTGATGTTAACAATTTATACAGTATCATTTAGTGTTGAAACTAGGTTATACTGACTATTTTCGATCTGGTAGTTAACTTTATTATCATTTCATTTGGCTGAGTCATTCTTGGGCCCTAAGAAAAGACGGCCAGAGTTACCACGTGAGAATCAAACATCATATCAAAATAATTAGACTGGCTACAAAAACTACCCCGGAAAGATACTGCATAGCAAAACCTAGGCGAGTTAATAAAATTTGACTGCAAGGTCCAAATTATCGGCGAGGATAAGCACGGAGAGAGATACATAGCCATACCTGGGGCCCGGACAGAGCAGCGGAGCATGCTAAGAAAGGCTATCAGCAGGCCCACTCCCGCTAAGTGGGCGGACATCGGAATCCTGCCGCGGAATGACTGGAGGGCACAGCTAGGGGCTCGGGCGTTTGCCAGGGAGGGGCGCGCCCCAGGGTCTGGGAGCACCATTCACAGAAAAATACAAGTTCTTTCATGGAGCCCCAGAAAAGCTTCTCCCGCCCCCTCCCCCGTTCCCAAGGGCAGGGCGATGGAGCTCCAGAGTTGGCAGGACACCCAGTCAAGTGATACTCAGGCTGACCGCACCCCACCCCCCCTCGCGTGCGGACTGCGCCTGCGCGCGCTGCCCCGGGCGGGCGGTGCTCGCTGCCAGAGGCGGGGTTGGGCGCGCACGCGCTCCAGTCTCCAGGCAACGGGAATAACAGAGGCCAGCTGAGAGCGCCTGCGCGGCCGGCGGTTAGTGGGTGTCCGGTCGGGAAAACTAGGTCCTGGAGTTTTCCCTGAGCAGGGACGGTCCCCGAGAGCCTCAGGTACGCGGAAGGGCGCGGAGACGTGAGGTCAGCACCTCGACCTCCCAAGGGCCAGAGGTCAGAAGAGCGCTTTGTCCCCAAAGCGGGCTCCCCAGTGGGGGCGCCCCAGCTGACCCTCCAGGACAGAACGTGACTTCCGCATTCCGAATCTAAAACCTGCAGCGGCCAGGTCAGGTGGTCCCCGCCTTTCAGGTTACAGACCTCTCGCTGTCTGCGCCGCGGGGGCTCCTTGGGTGAGGATCTGTCAGCCAGGCACCTGCTGCACCAGGCCCTGAGTGCCCTCTGTGCTCTTTGGAGTCAAGCACGGTTCCAGCGGGAGGGAAGCCCTGAGAGCTCTTTGTTGCCAGTCATTTACCTCCGGGCTGCAGTTGTAAAAGGATTGGGCTGGACTCGCAGTTCTAAATTCCAGTCATGTACTCTAACTGAGCGAACCCCTCAGTTTACAGGTGAAAAAACTGGAACCAGCAAGGGGAAGTTGCTTGTCCTTTGTCACCGGCCAAAAGCCTGACTTTCAATCCAATAGCTCTTTTCACCTACTACGGAATATGATGTGTCCGGCAGGAGCATCACTGTGTATGGCAGGGGCTAGTACTGGTATAAAGGAAAGCTAGGCAGCAGGAACACCTGTATCATATTCGTTTTTCTATCCTCAGGACCTAATAAGCACTCACAGGACATAATCTCTCGCCAAATGCTTATTGAACGAAAGCTCTGGCAGACCCAGCACCTGTCCCTAAAAAGTCTAAGGGGAAATGTGGGTAGGACAAGTATAGAAACAGTTTACTTTAGTAGCTGGGGTGAATCTCAAACTCCTCATATATCTGGTTTAAATTTCTTCTAGGCTTCAGTCCAGGCCCTGAATGGCTGGTCTCCAGTTGGTGCCACCTCTGCCTGTGGGCGTTATGCTCCCATATAATAAAATAGAAGCTCCAGGGCTCCACTCAGCCAAGCAAGACCCCTGTGAAAAAGGTGACTCTTCCCAGCGGTCCTTGATGGGGCACCTGAGGAACAATTTCCAGCAGAAGCTTTTGAGCAACAAAGAGCTGACACTGGATAATCTCTATACTCACCCCAAATGGAACACCTGTACAGAAGCCCAGAGCCACACCTATCCCCACTGTGCTGGAATCAGCCAGCAGGATTCAGGAAGCAATACCCAGGGCCAAACAAAGTGTTTGTGTTACTCATCAAGCCGTCAGTCCCGGTATCCCAAAGCAAATAACCAGGACTTCATCCCCTTTACAAAGAAGCGAGTTGGGGTAGACCGGGCATACCCACTGAAGCCCGTGTTCCATCGGAAGTCTCGTAGTACAGGTGAGGCTGGCACTGATGGGGACCAGAATGTCTCTCCACGACCCCCTGAGCCAAGAGAGTTTTTATACAGCAGCTTTGATTCAAGAAACTGGGTGAACACATCTGTGGCTGGCACTGTTGCTGCCATGCAGGGGGAGAGGGCCATGGCAAACCTCAACAGGACTTTGTGGCTGCAGATCCAAAGACTAGAGGCTGCAGGAGAGAGCTTAGAGGAGGAAATCCGAAGAAAAGAGACCCTCCTGAGGCAAAAGCTGAAGAAGACAGAGGAGGAACTCAGAAGGATTCAAAAGGAAAAGGAACAGACAGAGGAAAATGAAAAAGGAGAGCTACAGAGAAAGACACTCCCCAGGAGAAGAGTCAAAGGTAATAGCAACACCACATACAAACCTCTCTTCTCCCCAGAATTCGGGTCTGAGGGGGTCTTCAGTAGAGACAGGGGAGAGGATGAAACTTGGGTACGGTCTCAAGAAAATTCTAGTCCATTCCAGTTCTCTGATTATGGAATACAGAAGCTCAAAAGAGAAAGACTAGGGGCAAGCAATAACAAAATCCGAGACCGAGTCTCAGGGCCATTGAAGGCGAAGTTTTCTCAGCCTTCAGAAGTGCCAGGCAGTGCTTTGCAGGGATCCACCAGCAATTCTAGCTTGTCCGGGGCACCAGACTCCTCAGGTCCCAGCTGTCCCACTGAAGAGCCAGAACTCGGCGAGTGCAGCCACTGTGGACGCAAGTTTCTCTTGGTCAGGCTGGAGAGACACTCCAATGTTTGCCGCAGGATGCAGAGTTCCAAGAGGAAAGTGTTTGACTCATCCAGGGCCCGGGCTAAGGGCACAGAACTAGAGCAGTACTTGAACTGGAAGGGACCAGCCTCAGTCAAGGTAACAAGGGCTTCATGGATTTGACTTTGAGTGTAAGGGCCTGTTATATCCTCATCAGTTTTCTTTAGAAGAATTTCATGTGTCAAATAGGGAGAAAGTGAGAATTAACAATTATTGATTACTACTGTGTGCCGGTCACTGTGATGGGAGTTTTTCATATGGTCCTCACCACAACCCTGTGAGGATTTCATTATCTCTTATCAATTCAAAAATTAAGTCTCAGAGGGCCCAGCCTGGTGGCACAAGTGGTTAAGTGTGTGTGCTCTGCTGCGGTGGCCTGGGGTTCGTCGGTTCGGATCCCGGGAGTGCACCAACACACCGCTTGGCAAGCCATGCCATGGCGGTGTCCCATATAAAGTGGAGGAAGATGGGCATGGATGTTAGCCCAGGGCCAGCCTTCCTCAGCAAAAAAAGAGGAGGATTGGCAGATGTTAGCACAGTGCTGATCTCCTCAGAAAAAAAAAAAAAAAAAATTAAGTCTCAGAGAGGTTAAGTTGGTTGAGATCACAAACAGCTTTAAATGACAGAGTCGGCATATAAATCTGGGTCAGAATGACTCCAAAATCTAGACTTAAAAAATATATGTCCTTTTGATTATAAAAGTAATAAACACTACTGTAAAAAATTCAAAAGACAGGAAAATTATAAAGAAAACAACTATGCAGCATTTTACCACCCTGAGAGAATTCCTTGCTCTAGGATCTGTTCCCACTCCTATAACCATATCTATTTTTCAGGATTAGCTCAATTTTGATATATCTTCTTAGTAAATACATGAAACACAACTAAGTTTGGAATTCTTTATCTCCCCATTTAGAGTGTAAACACCTTAAAGGTAAAGGAATTTATTTTCAGTGATGGTTCAAAACATTCCTAGCTACAGAAAAACTAGGTTGTATAAAGTAAGGACTTCAAGACACTTACATGATAAGTTTAGGGGAACTTCACAGGCACATCTGGACAGTCAGATCTGGAGAAGATTGTCTCGGAAATAAGTCCATGACCCTGTCAAGGTTATGCCGCTTGGTTTGTAAAATGAGTGTTTCTCAAAGTGTGGCATGCTGACAAACATTTTTCATTTTAGTGGTTTTAGTGTGTATTAGAAAAATATAACAACATATTAAGCCCTTGATTTCCAGGAAACATGAATTTAAAGAAAAATATTAAGTAATTAATAGGGGGAGGGGCCGACCCCGTGGC